TTGCCTCTCTATTTTTAATGCTAAGTTGCTGTAGGGAGCAATGCTTCAGAATTTTTTTGAAATCCTTTGCTTTCTTTATTTGATTAGCTGTCAATTTTCCATTGCTAAGTTGCTGTTAGGAGCTTTGCTTCAAAATTTCCGAAAAATCCTTCGTTCTCTTTATTTCATTGCTTTTCATTTTTTATTACTAAGTTGCTGTAACGAGCTATGCTTTAGAATTTTCTCAAAATCTTTCACTTTCTTTATTTCGTTGCCCGTCATTTTTTATTGCTTCGTTGCTCAAGGGAGCTATGCTTTAGAATTTTCCTACAATCCTTGACTCTTATTCATTCATTGCCTGTCATTTTCCATTGGTTCGTTGCTTTGTTGCTGTAGGGAGCTATGCTTCAGAATCTCCCTAAAATTCTTCACTCTCTTTATTTCATTGCCTCTCTTTTTTTTAATGCTAAGTTGCTGTAGGGAGCAATGCTTCAGAATCTCTCAAAAATCCTTCGTTCTCTTTATTTCATTGCCTGTCATTTTTATCGCTTCGTTGCTGTAAGGAGCTATGCTTTAGAATTTCCCAAAAATCCTTCGTTCTTTTTATTTGGTTGCTTGTCATTTTTTATTGCTAAGTTGCTTTAGGAAGCTTTTCTTTGGAATTTCAAATATTCGGATTAAACTCTTACTTTGTAATAGACATAGTTTATGTTTTTTGCTGATGTTTCTCCATTGATAGATAGCAATTTTTTTCTGCCACATTTATCCGGGATGTTTCAGTCCTTTGTTTAATATAAGAAAATTTTCACCCCATACTGCTAAAGTCGATGACTCTCCATCGTGTCTCGTTTGAGAAGCTTTATTGTCCCTGTTTTTTACACTTTTGGTAGGAAATCTTTATAAAAATGGGCAAAGTCACATCTTTCTTTGACATTTGAAATTCATCTTAGCATGCAATTGTCTATGAAAACTTTAAGAAGGGACTGTCGTTATACTCAAACTAAGAAAGGAGCTTTTTATCTTTTTTGTCAACCTACATTGATAGTATTAATTGTTCACAAAGTGTATTACTATGCCCACACAATTCAAATAAACGTGGAATGTTACTGAGGAAATCAAGAGCTAGAGCTACAAGTATGAATTATAGTTAGGAACAGCACAAACAAAGAGAAGCAATCCAATACAAATGTGTGTAATACGATAAACTAAAATTTTACAATAAATTATAATTTGCTAGAACTTATGTAATTAATTGTCTTTCTTGACACGTAAGGAAAAGAAATTTGTCTTTTGAAGTCAGCAACTTAAATAGCTTGCATTTTTTCATACCATACAGAGGACGGATCATTGTACAATGAAACTCATCTGCAATGTGGTTACTACATATATTTGACAGAAAGCATTGACAGATTCGTGTCCAAACTTATGGAAACCATCAAAGTAATACTAGAAACATTAAAAAGCCACATACATATTCATTATTTAAAGGACCTTAAAGTTTGAAAACACTTGCGCCTTGTTTTAGATTTAAACTGAATTTGAACTTAGCTCGCATTAGTTATAAATAGAAACTGAAAGATATGGAAAAAGACCAAACCCTAGAAACGAAGACACTGTGCGATTGCAATCTTGTTTCCCTGCCAGTCCGTCAGTGGATGTAAACTAACAATCTTTTGGTGGTGCAAAACTTAAAAATGGATTTTCAAAACGCAAACGTTTGATTATACTAAAGCTTTTAATTTGACACTTATTAGAGTATAAAACGTCAGAACATAGATCGAAAACTCTGCGCTAGGAAATATATACACCCAATTGTGGATCGAAATAGGCCAATCAGAAACGCGAGCACATGTCTGTTGAGGTTGCCCAATCAGTGCCACTTCCCTATTGAGAATGTTACCAATGGAGTCCTGAGGTAAAAATGAACTCCCTTTGTCTACACAATAACGGTTTTTCGTGCTTATGTACACTTAGTGAGCAAAAGTATTGCACAGGCTGAAACAGAAATGGCGGCACCGCAGCAAAATATTCTATCGAGCCAAAATTCAAGTGGCCATAGCAAGTTTCATAAAAGCTAAAAGATGACTTTTAAACTGGAATATATTGGAAAATTTATCAAGTTTTGATGGTGAAAATAGTAAATGTAAGAAAACTACTTATTTAGCTAGCTAATGCGTTTACAAAGCAAGCAGGTGCATTTATGTAGCTAGCTCACGCGTTTACAGGACGAAATGGGGCGTTTATTTAACTAGCTAATGCGTTTACAAAGCAAGCAGGTGCATTTATGTAGCTAGCTCATGCGTTTACAGGACGAAATGGGGCGTTTATTTAGCTAGCTAATGCGTTAACAAAGCAAGCAGGTGCATTTATGTAGCCAGCTCATGCGTTTACAGGACGAAATGGGGCGTTTATTTAGCTAGCTAATACGTTTACAAAGCAAGCAGGTGCATTTATGTAGCTAGCTATTGCGTTTACAGGACGAAATGGGGCGTTTATTTAGCTAGCTAATACGTTTACAAAGCAAGCAGGTGCGTTTATGTAGCTAGCTAATGCGTTTACAGGACGAAATGGGGCGGTTATTTAGCTAGCTAATACGTTTACAAAGCAAGCAGCAAGCAGGTGCGTTTATGTAGCTAGCTAATGCGTTTACAGGACGAAATGGGGCGTTTATTTAGCTAGCTAATACGTTTACAAAGCAAGCAGGTGCATTTATGTTGCTAGCTCATGCGTTTACAGGACGAAATGGGGCGTTTATTTAGCTAGCTAATGCGTTTACAAGGCAAGCAGGTGCGTTTATGTAGCTAGCTAACGCGTTTGCAGGACAAAATGGGGTGTTTATTTAGTTAGCTTATGCGTTTACAAAGGAAGCAGGTGCGTTTATGTAGCTAGCTAATGCGTTTACAGGACGAAATGGTGCGTTTATTTAGCTAGCTAATGCGTTTACAAAGGAAGCAGGTGCGTTTATGTAGTTAGCTAATGCGTTTACAGGACGAAATGGGGCGTTTATTTAGCTAGCTAATTCGTTTACAAAGCAAGCAGGTGCGTTTATGTAGCTAGCTAATGCGTTTACAGGACGAAATGGTGCGTTTATTTAGCTAGCTAATGCGTTTACAAAGGAAGCAGGTGCGTTTATGTAGCCAGCTCATGCGTTTACAGGACGAAATGGGGCGTTTATTTAGCCAGCTAATGCGTTTACAAAGCAAGCAGGTGCGTTTATGTAGCTAGCTAATGCGTTTACAGGTGCGTTTATTTAGCCATCCTGGGCCATCTTGGGTATTAATTCGAAGATTCTATATTGAATATTGATTATTTCCTATTCATTTTCCCTTTCCCTTTTCCATAGGGCTGATTTCATTCAATATTTCATGCTGTTTTTGAGGATTAAAATTTCAGAAAATTATGTTTTTGTATAGCACATAAACATTTTCTCCTACCCTCAGTAAATTATGCTGTATTTTTGCTTGTTTTTTACAACGTATTATTATCAGCATTTTTTATAAAGAGATAAATTTGCACCTTGGCAGTATCCAGGACGGCGTGCAATCTCCTTAAACCCCAAAAGGATGACATTTCCGCCTTTCTCTGTTCACGTAGGAAAAAAAACCAAAACCTTTGGTATCAAATGGATGCAAGAAATGCATGTTTTTTTGTCACCATAATATAAGCCTTTCTGGGTGGGTTATTAAACGCTCCTAGAGAATATTCCATATTCTCAAGCATGCCCCCTTTTGTGTAATAAGAAAAGCACCCCTTAACGCGATATTTTTATCTTGAAACTTCAAATATTTATTTTTTCCATTTCACTGAGGCTGCTCCCTGCTGAACACCTTCAAACAAAGGTATATCCACAGAATAATGGGGTCGGGAGATTGCGCAAGAACGCAACAAAATTGATGCCTCTGGGGTATACAGATACAACTTGAATGCCGTACAAGTCATTGATAAATTATTATCTCAACCGAGGGACAAATCACTCTAAGAAAATCTCGTACACCTTTTGTGAAAATCCTATTTTTTTATCTGAAAATCTCTAGAAATCCTTTTGTTTTAGGCAAAATCTCGTACGCTATTTGCAAGAGTGAATCGCCCCTCGATCTCAGGCATCAGCAAACTGTTGTACAAGCAGGAAATCGCAACTTGTCACTAATGATGATTTTTTGCAAAATTATCAATGATCAAGGTCAAATAATTATAAATACAACCAATGAAAATGATCAAATGACAATGGCTAATATCAAGACTGCACAGAAAACCGAAAACAACGTTTTGGATCGAAAATCACTAGAGAGGCGAAACCAAATAGGCAATCACGCGCCAATACTCCTTTTATTTTAGGTCATTTTCGATCCACCAAAGTGCTCAATTCCCGACACAGTTTTCAAATGCTACATCAAAACTTATGCATCAAATAAACCTTTCATAACAGAAAGACCATTGAGATATCATTAGAAAAACTTTCAAACGACTTCTAAGCTCTTTATTGAAGTTGCCAACTTTGCTTATGAATAGCTTTGAATGAGTTTGCGAACTTCGGTTTGCTAACGACACAAAAAAAGCGAGCAGTCTCTGCAACCCTCGCTGTTTAAAACAAACTATGATCTTTATAACATCAAATTCAGGAAGAAGTTCAATAAAATTAAATATTCAGGAAGGTTGAATATTTAATGGAAGAAGTATGTGTTTAAAGGGTCGCCTTTGAAGGGGATTCAGCTGCCGTAACCTAAATTCGTAAGAGGATTTCCTTCTTCAAAAACAAATTCCTTCGTGAGCAGATTTGTATGTGAACCAATCTCTTTTTATGGCTGAAAATTTTCCAGGATTGATTCTGTTTTGCTCCTCTTAGAAGTGTCTTCGTTAAATCTCAGCAATGGAATGCCGTAAGGGGCAAGCATCTCAAAGAAACCAGCAGCACAGTCACTCTTTGTAACCATGTACGACGTCAGTCGTCACCTCTCTGTGTATCTGTCAATTAAAAAGATAAGACATTTCAGCCAAAAGTGACATTTTCATTAAATTTTTAGGTGAATGCCGCAGACACCCAGTGGACGCCGCAACAGAAGATGATGTCGATGCATCAGTAGCAAAGAGGCAAACGCAAGTGAAGAAAAGGTTTAGGGAATGAACCAAATCTCCACATAGAAACCCAATACAGACACTTTTTCCTAGTTTGTTTATCGTTTTAAATTTTAAAGATTTTCTATGCATAGAAACGTGTTGCCGGAAATTTCTTTCCCCATGGCGTGTAAACTTGATTTCTCACATTCGCCTTTGTAAAGGCCCTTGCCCTTGAAGCTTTTGTGCCGCCTAAACGCCGAAGATTACGTAGGGTTAGGGTAACTCTGAATAGAAAGCTGCTGTTTGGAGCCATCTATTGTCGGAAAATATGTAAAGGAGTCCCTAAGTTAACGATAAACAACCACTTCGATCGCGTGAATCATAGGTCAATGCAAAATTGAGCCCCTTTCCTACCCCAGCCCTGAATCCTTAGTAAATGTATAATCTGAAACTACTTAGCAACTTGCCCCCTCAGACTCTCCGATACACTCCTTTTCGAGCGGTGTTCAAATGCCCATCTACGTCGAGAGCATTCCCCATCATTGTTACATTGTTTATGTTCTCCTTTTAGGTTCGGCCTTGTCAATTGCCACCCTCAACAAATTAAGAGAGTATTTTGAGATGAAGCTTTAGAAATTGTCTATTGAATTTCTTTTGTTTGAAGTGAGAATCTTTTGAATCGTTGGTTTTTAGGAAAGATAATTTTTACTCGCTCATCCAAAAGGTTAAAGTAAACGTCCTTTTGTGGAATGGTAGCATGGATTGAGATAAATATTGCTTATTTTCTGTGTATTTTTCCTGTTTTGCGTTTAAAAGATATTTGATATTCCAGCCGGCCCGGCCCTCACCTCTTAGTGTTTTCACAAAGAGAGGCTTTTGTCTGAAATTGAATGGCCAGTGTTTCAGCTAGAAGTTGCATTATTGGCGAAACCATAAACAGTATCAAATTTTAGTTTCCACCATTAGGTGCGGGAGGTTGCGGCCGTCCTTGTGGTATTTCGTTTTGTCGAATAGGACCGATTTAAGCAAAGTTATTTGACTTTTTCTTGGCTGAGAGCAAGGGGGATTCAGGTTTACATAAAGGCGTTCAGAAAAAACAATAGGCTTGTGATTCCCCGAGTTTCTGAAGACTTGGGTTTTTAGCGATTTACACAAAAAGTATCACAGTTACAAGTTTTTTAGTGCATTCATGAGATGGGCCGTTCGATGCTCGATTTTTTGAGCTATTTCCCGTAATTTTGGGACCTGTTTATGCTGAGTTATTGAGGATTTAGTGATTAAAACACGCAAAAAACGGTTTTTTGCAGTTTAAAAATCGAAAACAGCCGATAAAAATTCTGCGAGGCGTTCAAAATATCGCTGATTTTTTGCTCGATTTTTTGAGCTATTGCTTGTCTTGTTTGAAGCTTGCGTTACTGAATTAACTCGATTTTTCCGAAAAGTGCACTTTTCAAATTTTCTCAAATTTGCATCGCAGCGACCGATCAAGCTCAAACCGGTAACTGCGGCGGCGGTCAAAACTTTTTCTTTAAAAATGGTGTTTAATTGGAATTTAAAAACAGGAAAAGTCTGTGAACGGGTAAAAGAGCTTCCTGGATTCGATTTAAATGCATTTAAAGTTGCATTTCATGATTTTTTAAAGTTTCGATACATTTGCCCCAATGTTGCTAGCCGCCCGTCGCCCGATCGGCTTGTTCGGTCAAGAAACTCTCAAAACTGTCTGATTTTCACAGTTCTTTGGGAATTTCCATTTCTTTTGTTCTAATCATTAGATCCTCAATAACTCGGCAAAGAAAGGTCCTAAAATTACGGGAAACGGCTCACAAAATCGAGCATCAAACGGTCCATCTCATGGATGCGCTCAAAAACTTGTAACTGTGATACTTTTTGTTTAAATCGCTAAAAACCCAAGTCTTTAGAAACTTGGGGAATCAGAAGCCTATTGTTTTTTCTGAACGCCTTTATGTAAACCTGAATCCCCCTTGCTCTCAGCCAAGAAAAAGTCGAATAACTTTGCAAAAATCGATCCCATTCGACAAAAGGAAACGTAAAACGGTGTTTAATTGGAATTTAAAAACAGGAAAAGTCTGTGAACGGTGAAAAGAGCTTCCTGGATTCGATTTAAATGCATTTAAAGTTGCATTTCATGATTTTTTAAAGTTTCGATACATTTGCCCCAATGTTGCTAGCCGCCCGTCGCCCGATCGGATTGTTCGGTCAAGAAACTCTCAAAACTGTCTGATTTTCACAGTTCTTTGGGAATTTCCATTTCTTTTGTTCTAATCATTAGATCCTCAATAACTCGGCAAAGACAGGTCCTAAAATTACGGGAAACGGCTCACAAAATCGAGCATCAAACGGTCCATCTCATGGATGCACTCAAAAACTTGTAACTGTGATACTTTTTGTGTAAATCGCTAAAAACCCAAGTCTTTAGAAACTCGGGGAATCACAAGCCTATTGATTTTTCTGAACGCCTTTATGTAAACCTGAATCCCCCTTGCTCTCAGCCAAGAAAAAGTCGAATAACTTTGCAAAAATCGGTCCCATTCGACAAAAGGAAACGAAAAACGGTGTTTAATTGGGGCAAATGTATCGAAACTTTAAAAAATCATGAAATGCAACTTTAAATGCATTTAAATCGAATCCAGGAAGCTCTTTTACCCGTTCACAGACTTTTCCTGTTTTTAAATTCCAATTAAACACCGTTTTTCAAGAAAAAGTTTTGACCGCCGCCGCAGTTACCGGTTTGAGCTTGATCGGTCGCTGCGATGCAAATTTGAGAAAATTTGAAAAGTGCACTTTTCGGAAAAATCGAGTTAATTCAGTAACGCAAGCTTCAAACAAGACAAGCAATAGCTCAAAAAATCGAGCAAAAAATCAGCGATATTTTGAACGCCTCGCAGAATTTTTATCGGCTGTTTTCGATTTTTAAACTGCAAAAAACCGTTTTTTGCGTGTTTTAATCACTAAATCCTCAATAACTCAGCATAAACAGGTCCCAAAATTACGGGAAATAGCTCAAAAAATCGAGCATCAAACGGCCCATCTCATGGATGCACTAAGAAACTTGTAACTGTGATACTTTTTGTGTAAATCGCTAAAAACCCAAGTCTTTAGAAACTTGGGGAATCACAAGCCTATTGTTTTTTCTGAACGCCTTTATGTAAACCTGAATCCCCCTTGCTCTCAGCCAAGAAAAAGTCAAATAACTTTGCTTAAATCGGTCCTATTCGACAAAACGAAATACCACAAGGACGGCCGCAACCTCCCGCACCTAATGGTGGAAACTAAAATTTGATACTGTTTATGGTTTCGCCAATAATGCAACTTCTAGCTGAAACACTGGCCATTCAATTTCAGACAAAAGCCTCTCTTTGTGAAACACTAAGAGGTGAGGGCCGGGCCGGCTGGAATATCAAATATCTTTTAAACGCAAAACAGGAAAAATACACAGAAAATAAGCAATATTTATCTCAATCCATGCTACCATTCCACAAAAGGACGTTTACTTTAACCTTTTGGATGAGCGAGTAAAAATTATCTTTCCTAAAAACCAACAATTCAAAAGATTCTCACTTCAAACAAAAGAAATTCAATAGACAATTTCTAAAGCTTCATCTCAAAATACTCTCTTAACTTGTTGAGGGTGGCAATCGACAAGGCCGAACCTAAAAGGAGAACATAAACAATGTATCAATGATGGGGAATGCTCCCGATGGAGATGGGCATCTTTTCGCTGTAGTTAGACGACACTTGTCGTTCACTGTTTAAAAAGGTAGGTTTGAGAGGGCAATAAGGGTGCTAAGTAGCTTCAGAATATACATTTACTAAGGATGCAGGGTTGTAAGTAGGAAAGGGGTTCAATATTACCAGGGGCGTCGCGACTGGGGGGTGTCACACCTCCTCAATAGCATCTGGATAGGAAATTTCAGGTAAAGTCCGCCCAGTGGAAGCAACGCTTTAGGAATTTCAGAGACCGTCATGCTTAAAATCAATAAAGAATTAAGCAAAGGTAGTTGCTCCTTTGGTTAAATATGATATTTCTTGATATGAAGGAAGGTAAACAAACTAATGATTTGAAGATTTGAAGATTTCTTGTTGGCACAAAATTTAATAATCCATGCCCTCTTTAGGTAAAATTGTGCCATGTGTCCATTTCCCCTAAAGTTCCTCGGTAGAAGCGTCAACTGCAATTCATAATGAGCTCCAGGTTTTTTGTAACATTCAAAAGGCATGCTAGGTTGGAAAGAGGGATCTAAATTGACAACCAGTGCTGCTTGTTACCTGGCTTCAGAGGTAACTGACAACATGGAATTTTTCAAACCACGGGGAAATTTTGCCAGTTGTTTTTATCTGCTGCTCGATTTGTTTGTAAAAATAAAAGAATTTTTAATAGGATTAAGAGGATTGCTTTAGTAAAATTTGGTAAAAAAAATTATTTTCCAGGGAACTGGAAGCATCAAAATTCGAAAATTTTCTAGTCCCTCGGCGGCAACCATGGTGCGGGCTCGGGTAGGTATATCCTTGCCCGTCCCGATATACAGATTTGACAAAACTATTATAAAAGTCTGTTATAATCATATAAAATTGAAAATTGCGAATTATATGCCACACCGTTAGATTGACAAAAAGTATTGCAGAGGTTTGCTTCAGCATGTTAAGAATTTCAGGTAATTGTTTAATAATCAGGTAAATTTGTTGTCCACACCCCCCCCCCAGCAAGGCTTGCCTCGCGATTGCCCTGGATATTGCATCGACCTATGTTCCACGCGATCGAAGAGGGTGTGTTTATGGTTAACTTAGAGACTTCTTTGTACATTTCCCGACAATAGATGGCTCCAAATTGCAGCTTTCCGTTCAGAGTTACCCTACTTAATTTTGGGCAGTTAGGCCGAACAATTTCGGTAGTTAGGCGGCACATAAGCAACACTTTAAGGGTGAGGGGGGCATTCAATCCGGGAGCTAAAGGCCACTGGACAAGTTACAAAGAGATGTTACATGGTTGAGCGTGAGAAATCAAGTTTACATGCCATACGGAATAGAATTTTCTGCAACGTTCTTGTGGCTGCAAAATCTTTAAACGATTACAAACAAGGAAAGTGTCTGTATTGGATTTCTGTATAGAGACTTGGTTCATGTGGTAAACCTTTCCTTCATGTGCGTTTGCCTCTTTCTACTGATGCATCGACATCATCTTTTATTGCGGTGTCCACTGGGTATCTGCGACAGCGAACATTTTTCCTAGAAAATTTAATGAAAATGTCACTTTTAGCTGAAATGTCTTATCCCTTCGTACATGGTTCTAAAGGGTGACTGTGTTGTTGGTTTCTTTGAGGTGCTTGCCCCTTACAGCATTCCATTGCTTCAAAAGAAGGAAGTCCTTTTACGAAACCTAGGTTCAAGGCGGCTGAGTCCCCTTCAAAGGCGCCCCTCCAAGCACAAAGTTCTTCCATTGAATATTCGAAACGCTTTAGAACAAATTTCAAGCATTTTTTGTTCTGAATTTGATGTTATGAAGACCATGGTTTGTTTTAAACAGCGGGGCTTGCAGAGACTGCTTGCTTTTTGTGTCTTAAGCAAAACTAAGTTCGAAAACCTTAGTAAAAGCTTTTCGCGATCAAAATTGGCAACTTCAATAAAAAGCTTAGAAGTCATTTGGAAGTTTTTCTAGTGATATCTCAATGGTCTTTTTGCGATGAAAGGTTTATTTGATGCATCAGTTTTGATGTAGCATTTGAAAACTGTGTCAGGAATTGAGCACTTTGGTGGATCGAAAATGACCTAAAAGGAGTATTGGCGCGTGATTGGCTATTTGGTTGTGCGGGATTCAAGTTGTATCTGTTGTATCCCTCAGAGGCATCAATTTTGTAGCGTTCTCGCGCAATCTCCCGACCCCATTGTCCTGTGGATACACCTTTGTTTGAAGGTGGTCAGCAGGGAGCAGCCTCAGTGAAATGGATTACATAAATATTTCGAGTTTCAAGATAAACATACCACGTTAAGGGGTGCTTTTCCTATTACACAAAAGGGGACAGGGAAGAGGGAAGGGCTATTCACCGAAAAAAAAGCAACTCGCAGGCTTGAGAAAATGGAATATTTCTAGGAACGTTTAATAACCCACCCAGAAAGGCTTATATAATGGTGACAAAAAAACATGCATTTCCTACATCCATTTGGTACCAAAGGTTTTGGTTATTTTTTACGTGAACAGAGAATGGCGGAAATTTCATCCTTTTGGGGGTTTAAGGAGATTGCACGCCGTTCTGGATACTGCCAAAGTGCAAATTTATCTCCTTATAAAAAAACGATGATAATAATAAACTGTAAACAATTTGTAATAAAAAATACAGCATGATTTACTGAGGGTAAAAGAAACTGTCAATATGCAAAACAAAAATATTTTTATCTGAAGGTTGACATCAGCATTAAAATTGAATGAAATCATGAAATCTATGGATTAATACCCTGCAAAAATATATTTTTAATAAACTGCCTATTGCATTTTTGTCATCTGAGGGTATCAAGGCTGCTAGAGAGATGCTAAAGAGAAAGAATTTAAAGAAACTCTGAAGCAAATCTTCCTATTGCAACGTAGCAATAAAAATTGACAAACAGTTAAAAAAAGAAAACAAAGGATTTTAGAAAAACTCTAAAACAAAGCTCCCTACAGCAACGTAACAAAGAAAATTGACAGGCAATGAAATAAAGAAAACGAAGGATTTTAGAGAAACTCTAAAGCAAAGCTCCGTAAAGGAATGTAGAATGAAAAACTGGCAGGCAGTAAAATAAAGAGAACGAAGGGTCTTAGGGAAATTCTAAAGCAAAGCTCCCTACAGGAACATAGCAATAAAAATTGACATACAGTAAAAAAAGAGAACGAAGGATTTTAGAGAAACTCTAAAGCAAAGCTCC